TTGATCCCTCTCTTAATCTTCTATTTATAAAAATAAATTGATACAAAATTACATGATAATTAGGGTAACCCTAGACAATCTAATCATGATAAATAGGGTAATCCTAGACACAATATAATCATGATAAATAGGGTAACCCTTGACACAATATGATGATAAATAGGATAAATATTCTAACACTAATCAAACCATATCTTTAAAACTCCACCTCATGATGTGGATAATATATGTCATAAGAGCCAACCTTGTTACATATGTTGTCAATAAGAGAGCCATTTAGGGATTTAGGGAACAAGATTGTGATGGTCATCGAAGTAATAATGTTAGTGATGATATACTCTCGAGAGCACTTCTCCTCTAAAGTGACCAAACAATCTTTATGTGTTTGGGGTTGCTAATAGAAGAGTGGATTTGACATCATGTATACGAATTTAGGATCTGTTAGGATATTTATCCTATTTTATCATCATTATAGTGTGTCAAGGGTTACCCTATTTATCATGATTATATTGTGTCTAGGATTACCCTATTTATCATGATTATATTGTGTCTAGGGTTACCCTATGTATCATGATTTGTGTATCAATTTATTCTTATAAATAGAAGATTGTGAGAGGGATCAATAAGCCCTCAAAGATTATTTCTTTTCAATCTTAAGTTGGTATCAGAACGGGTCGATCCCGCTCTGGTTTCTGTCTACGTAATATGATATCTGTCCGGCGCCATCATAGTTCGTCGTTCCGCCAGCGCTGCCCGCCGCTGCCCGCCGTGCCCGCCGCTGCCCGCCGCTGCCGCCGCCGGCCACCGTCAAACCGCGGCCACCGTCGCAGAAATTAAGGACAAAGAAGAAGGTGGAATTATTCTCGTACAGAGAGGTATAGGAGGCTGGTTGGCAAACTGATTTATCTCACTATTACAAGGCCAGATCTATCCTTTGCAGTTGGAGTGGTTAGTCAGTTATGCAGGCTCCATGTGTTGACCATTGGAATGCTCTCATTCGCATTCTAAGGTATGTAAAGAAGGTCCCAGGCAAGGATTGTATATGAAGATAAAGGAAGCATTTCATGTCTTGCGTATTGTGATGCAGATTGGGACAGGTTCACCTATTGATAGACGGTCTACAACAGGATATTGTGTTTTTCTGGGAGGGAGGAAACATTATTTCATGGAAAAGTAAGAAAAGAATGTAGTAGCTCGATCAACGCGGAAGCCGAGTATAGGGCAATGGCATCATTAACAGTGAACTTATATGGGGAAACAATTCCTCAAGAGCTTAAAATTTTGGACATCATCCAACTATGAAGATGTATTGAGACAATAAGCTGCTCTCCACATTGCATCAAATCCAGTGTTTCACGAGGAGGACTAAACATATAGAAATTGATTGTCATTTTGTTCGTGAAAGTTGTTGACCAA